CCGTTCGGTCTACACGTGAACAAAGCTTTGAAATTCGCGGATACAAGTAACCAAACGTCAATCAATCCTTCACGCCGACCCTCATTATCTCGTAGACGGCCGAGAGTTGTCGATTGAATTATGTTGTTATCCTAATATCATTTTCTAAATATCGATATCTCTTGGCACAACTCTGATAACTCTACATTCGTATCGTTGGGACACTGCAAAAACACACGTCCCGACGATACGAATCTAGACAGAGTTATTGTGGTAGTAAGGGATCTATCTGAGATTATCGAATAGTATTTTTAACCGATATTTTTCACACTCTAACTGACTTTTTGACAAACAAGTCTCATTGAATAGCTCGTTCACTGGCTGAATCAATTTTGAGGGAAATAAAGCGCTATTTACGACGAGATTTACGAACTCATTATTTCAGTGAACGATATCCGATAGAACAATACTTGGACTTTCTCTCCTTAGAAACGAACTGAAAGGAGGAGCTTTAATTCGTGGGAACTACTACTGCCAATACAAGAAATAAATAATCAACAACGAATTATACAGCCGTAAATTCATTCGAAAGAATATAACCGAAGGGAGTTATGCTTAATTACAAGAACAATTATCTATAATTCACGTAATGGAATAACTTCCTCGTGCATCTCGTCGAGATTGAAATTCCGTCATGTAACTAAAGCAGACGTCGGTTTTAAAGGACGCCCGTGCTCTCTGGCGCTACGGCATTCATAGCGTAATTACGAAGCCGCGTGTTCCAGGACGTTGTGATATTTAATTTAATACAACAGGTCGTTGTAGATTTCCCGTTTACAACGTATCGTGTGCAGTGAACACGTCTGACTACTACTGACAGTAATTGCCGTCTAATTGATCTGAAACCTTACTTCCGTAAGCCGGCACAGAGAATCTTTGGGTGGTTCAGTTAGTTATTAAGCTAATGTATCAGGAGGATATTAAATTAAGTGCCGTATACAAGAATATATGACGTATTCATTAAGGAAACGTAGGAAATTACAAGGGAAAACCAGAAAACTTCCAAAAATACAACCGATAATTATGAAAAACTTCTAGAAGTGATATTTTTTTTCCGACAATCAATTTAATCAATAATTATGAGAAACGCGTATTTGGAAGCGGATTCAGCTGGTCGAAAATTATTAAGGCGCCTGGGTAATCGCTGCAACTATCCTTGTTTGACGTCAGAAGCGAGAAAACGCATATCAGAAGAATTCTTGCGTTTTACGTGCATTGGTTCAAATAAAAAGATACACTAACAAAATGACATTTGTGATCGATTTAATACATTTATAAAATTATCCGTGCACTTTTCTTTTATTCGAACAATCATTGAACAGCCGCAAAATTAATTGTTAATTTTACGATTATTTATTGCTTGTTCGAACAAAAGAAAAGTGCACGGACAATTTTACAAGTGTATTGAATCACAAATGTTGTTTTGTGAATATATCTTTTTATTTGAACGTAAAACGCAAGAATTCCTGACATATTTTTTCTCACGTTCTGACGTTATCAAGAATAATTGCAGCAATTACACAAAAGCCTTAATAACACTCAATATAGTAAATGGTAAAGCAGCCACAAGTGTACACGGTGTAAGCGGGCATAATAACCTTAACATTTACTAGATTTAGTGACAATAACACAGAACACATCGTAGTAACGCTAACACTAAAACGAAAGTTATTCATCGTGAAAAAATCGATTAATTTTGTACAGCAATAAAAAAGTAATGACATACAATAAATATTGCATGAAATAATTAATTAAATGTCCCTCGATACACGTTTAATAATAATTTACACATATCTTATCGTTGATATCGTTCTATGGCATTTAGGACATCTAAATATTTTACGTAACCCGAAATACGCGTGAGAGACAGTTGCTTCGTTTATCATTAACTCCGATGAAAATTACTGATAATTAATCTGCTTCAATGTCCATAAGTGAGCGTCCACATATTTGGTCGTGTACACAAACCCCCCATGCCATGTTATTTCAAACGTGAATGCTTCCGTTCATGTCGAGTTTATATTATTTTGTGTATAAAAAAAGTTAGACTCTTCATAGTATATATGTACAAGTACGCTATTACCGTTAATATAATGCCATATATAAGCGCCGAGTTTTTTGTATATATATGTTACATATATAAATATACATATAAAGTTATATATCATTCGATATATATCGCATATATAATTCGATGAAAGCACAAATTCCGGGAAAAAATCTTTAATGATGTGCAAATTTTTCAAAAATACTTCTGAAAAATGTATCTGTAAAATATGATAAATATGGTAAATGATGAATTTGCACTACTTAAATGTGCATTTATTTGCATAGATTAGCATAGATACATCGTCGATTACGGTCAATAGAACATTCAATTTCCCGTGAAAATTATCGCGAGAAATACGTCGAATGTCGAGTTTACATATTCTCCTTATGAGATAGAATTTGTTTCTTCCTTTTCTGATTACGCCTCTTATTAGGTTGGTGCATATGAAATGTCGGATTCTTAAGTGATTGTATAAAACTGTATATCTTTCTTCAAAAGCTGTTTATTCAATCAAAGTATGCTCCATTCGCTTCAATACACTTCTCCCAACGAGATTTTAAAGCGTAGATGCCTGTCTTAAAAAAATTTTGGTCTTTAGAATTAATAAACTCTGATATCGAGTTTTTTAGACTGTCTTCATTTTCATGGTGTTTGCCTCTTAAAAACAGCTCTAAATGCTTGAAAAAATGAAAATCGGTCGGCGAGAGATCCGGTGAATATGGTGGATGCTGCAAAACTTCATATTCCAGTTCGTTCAGTTTCGCAATTGTTTTGTGCGATGTGTGCGGCCGAGCGTTGTCATGGAGCAGTAGCGGGCCATGCCGATTCACAAGCGATGGGAGTACAATTTGGTGTCTCAATATCGTTGTATGGTCAACTTTCATCCTGATAGCAAGTTCCCTCGTGGATACGGCTGGATCCGCTTCCACTAGAGCCTTCAGGTCATCATTATTCACAGACGTTTTGGGTCTTCCGCGCGGCTCATTTTGCAGTGAAAAATCGCCAGTCCGAAATTTTTCGAACCAACGCTGCACTTTCCGATTGTTAACCGTATTCTCCCCAAACGCTTGGTTTATGTTGCGTGCAGCTTTTGCAGCACTATTACCAAGTTTGTACTCATATAAGAAAATGACGCGAATGTCGGCAGAATTCATATCGGTAATAAACTCAAAAGAAATAAAAAAGGGAAGACCTTCGAGAAAACCTATTTTGTTGAAATGAGTCTCTGGCAATGGACAATACGAGTATGAATGAGGTTATGCCAAATACAAAAGTATAACGAAAACAGGGAGGAAAACGTCCGCATGTAAAGAGAATGCGACATTTCATACGCACCAACCTAATACAAATTTCAGGAAAATATAGCAGAGAAAACTCCGACGGCGCTTTACGAGACACCAAGCGAATATTACACAAATCTGTTTTGTTAAGAGACGACAGATTCGCGAAAAAATTCATTTAACGACTCGACAATTATCTTGAGAACAATCTCAGTCTTGTATTTCGGTTATTTTCGAATACAGTGCGAGTGCAACTTTCGCAACGTTTCTTTTGAGCTGGCTTTGTTACCCAAATTTTATACTAATGGCATGTGCATTGGTTAAAATGTTATTACTGATAAATACATCGCTTATCTAAAGTATCTTCGCATATCCCGATAGCGAGGGGAACTGCAAACTCACGTTGCATTAGTCTGCCATCGTCAGCGAAACGTTACAGAACGAAGGATAGAGGTAGCTTATGTTTTGCGACGTTTGAGAGACTGTCAAAGAGATATTCAGGTACGACAAATACACAAATACACAACGTCAAAATTGCGCGCAATGTGCCAAATAAAGCACCTTATCGTACGATAACGAACTGTAATGCGCAAATCATTTTCTCAGACAAAATATAACCTTAATCATCGAACAGTAATCAGCCCAATTTCTTGGTTCCCAGTTGAGATTCAGAATTCAATCCTGCTGGAATTAATCAATTTCACATTCCGTACAATCTCGCCTATCGTACTTTCTACATTTCTTCGAGCGAAATTCCATTTGAAAAACAGAGCGAAAGTCGAAACCTCGAAGTCGAATGATTGTGATTCACTCATATATAGTAAATTCTTCTACTCTAACTCGCCGAGTAAATATTTTCATTCGAAATTGAAAAATGAATCAGATGTACTCTACAATCACTGGAACAAATTTAGTCGAACCGATTAAAATATTTATTCATATAAACGAAGAGTTTATTCTGTGATTTGTGGTGAATATTGGTAATATATATTCTTGTGATTTCGAGCAGCAGGTATTTTCATATTCTTACTAGTTTCATTTCATATTCTTACTATCGCTTTCGTCGAATTATATATATATATATATATATATGAGTCACTTAATTTTAAAAGCTTAAATATATAAAAAATAAAGGTAAATAGAAAGAAATGTTCCAGATAAAAGTTATAAAGTTTGGAGGGAAGTATAAGTGTAAGAAAAGTTGGTGACTTTAATTTCGTAGTATAGCCAATAATTCGAGATTAACTTCATTTTTTTAACAGAATCATAGAGTTTTTTTTTCTAACACAAATCGATTTCTCTATTTATTCTGTACATAAAAGTATTTGAGTAAGATCATCGAAAAGTGAATACTTTTCGAGATATTTTATTTTTTATTCTCATATATCCTCAGCGTTGTTCATATATGTGCTGGTAGCGCATATACTGAGCAAGGCAACGTTACATCGCGTAGAACTGAATTGGCGCTCGAGCGGCTCACAACGATTATCATCGCAGATGTCAATATCGTGGGTTAACGTGTCGAGCAGTGGTGACAAGTCGATAGCAAAAATATTGTCATAGCTATACATAGGTTGCGCGAGCGTTCCTCTTAATAGCCGTGTATCGTGATAATTATCATACATTTGCAGATCGGCAATTGTATGTTCTTTACGTTGCCTGGGATGATGCGTGCGGTGATTCTTCTTCTGATCGCTGCGTCGGCTGCGGTAAGAGGTAAGTAACATTTCTCAATTATATTCTAGTTTCATTTCTTTTTTAAAGCGCAAACTCCGTCGTCTTCCGAAAAAAAGGAAATTCCGCGCATTTCATGTTATCGACACTTGCATAATGCAACAACTTTCCTTATATAAATTCGAGGGACTTACAAATCATGCACAGTAGGTCGTCAAAAATAGAAAGGAAATACCGTCGCCGTATTACAAAGTCAGATATCATAACGTTTTCGACTTACGTGCAATGTATGCGACCTTATTGAAGATTATCAATTCACTCCGCGTTTCTTTGTCGTCACTGAATCATCGCGATGTTAATTGCCTTCGTCTTGACCCGACGGTTATCTTAGTCACGTTCGAGCTATTCTCTCGTGGAAAGTGGCATAAATTTCGTCGTGAATCCTAATGAGATTCGTCGATGTGTCGATCTCGTGGTGAGATTTTCGAAACTGCGCTTACGACACTTTAAGGATAAACGACTCGCCCGAATTCGCAAGTCCGCGCAAGTACAATCAACGCCGTAGCGGACGGACTTAATTTTGCGACGGGAGTTACGACTAAAATTTCCGATTCCTCCCTACACCCCTCTCCCTTTCTTCTCCTCCGTCCGACAGCTCGATGCTCGATATTCCGAGAGCTTTTCGATACGAGGACCCTCCGTCTCGTAGTGGCGAACGCGCCGACGAAGATAAACTCGCGGGGCATTCGTTTTGATCGCCTCCTCCTCCCCCGTGTATTCTGTTGCAGGTGATGACTGCATACGTCGTAAGGTCGAGTACGGAATCGTATGCGTTTGTAACTCAACGTATTGCGACTACGTGCCGGATGTACAAGTGCAGGAGAATCAATACGTTACGTACACCTCTACCGAAAGTGGCCAAAGACTGAATATTTCGATCGGAAACTTCTCCAACGGATACTCGTCCTGCGATATTACCATCACAGTGGACACAAGTAAAGCATTTCAGGAGATATTTGGATTTGGCGGAGCGATGACTGACGCTGCCGCGCTCAACATTCGAAATCTTCGTGAACCGACACAGCAAAAGCTGATCGAGTACGTGCGATTATGGAGTCAATCAAAACAATTAGAGCCGATTCCCGATATATGGTCAAAGCACGGTCAGATTACACTCTTTGGTCACGTCCGACGATCTTTCGTCGATCAGTCATGCGGTAGTCCATCCGTGTCAATACTTTGTTGTTGAAGCGCTTTCCAAGTCTTCGCTTATTAAAGTCACTTTTTTCAGAGCATATTATGGTGCCAAAGGTAGCCGATATACCTTCTGCCGCATACCTATGGCAGGTACTGACTTCTCGACGAGACCGTACACGTACGCCGACACGCCCGGCGACCTTACGTTGTCTAATTTCAGTCTCGTGGAGGAGGATAATTACAAGATCGGTTATTTGCACGATATGATGAAGATTATGCCCAATCGGGACGATATGAAAATATTTACTACCTCGTGGTCCGCGCCAGCGTGGATGAAAGACACCAACAAAATAACATGGGGTAATTTCGGCATGATAACATATGTCTCATTTACGAAAAAGAAGAAGATAAAGAAAGAAGAAAAGAACAAAATAATCGAGTCCTCGCTTCCGGAAGCTGCATTACCAAAATTGCATGTTTTTTTTTTATCAAAATTTAACTTACAAGAAATCTATCAATTATCCAAAATCGATTTGATTCTCCTTGAAATATGTTGTTAAATTTTAGATCCAAAGATTTAAGACATATACTTCTATCACACATGCTTAAACTAAGAAACCACGAGATATCTAAAAAATGTTTTAGATGGAAGTTTCTTATGCACGCGTTTAGTTTCCTATCAGATAACTGTTATCTTTAGTTGCTTCTTTCGAGGATGAATATACGAATGTATCGAATCGCGCCTAATCAGATATTATTTCGACATATATCGTGTAAAGCAAGTATAAATTAAATAACAGCGTGTCTATAAATATTCTCACGTAACAAGCATATATTCATAAGTATAATTAAACTATACTGATATATGATACGTATGCGCGCAATGTGTTCAACATTAACATAACATTAACATTATGAATTCCATTAGCTTAATTAGCTTCAAAGCTTTTATTTCACCCCTTAGAACTAAGCTTGTGAATACGAATTAGAAGTATACATGTCTATTAGATTTTTGTATTTAACAACATATTTTCAGAAAAATTAAATCAGTTTCATACCA